AGTTATAATACCTAAGCCAGGTAAACTTCCCCATGAAGTTACATCGTACAGACCCATCTCCTTGTTACCTGTTATCTCGAAACTCTATGAAAAATTGCTTCTTAAGACATTGAAACCTATAATAAAAGAAAAGGGCCTAATACCCTCCCACCGGTTTGGCTTCAGAGAAAAATACACGACTATCTGACAAGTTCATAGAATCACATATCATTAAAGTCCCTAGAAGAAAAAAGTTTGCTCCGCCATCTTTTTGGATATGGTTCAGGCTTTTCACAAAGTATAGCATGAAGGATTCGTTAAAAAACGGAACATGTTTCTGTCACGTTAATACTCGAGAGTTATTAAAATCCTATTTATCAGAAAAGTATTTCAGAATTAAGAAGCCTATTCCAACCTAAAAGAAATTAAGGCAGAAGTACCTCAAGGTAGTGTACTAGGTCCAGTACTCTACTTCCTAATCTTAAGCCCAATACTATCGCAACATTTTCTGATGATACCGCAATCCTTGCTGTTGGAAAAAATCAGGAATGCGCTAATAGAAAATTACAAAAATCTAGAGACCAGATTAACACCTGGACGAAAAGATGGCGAATAAAATTGAATGAAGGCAAATCTGTCCATATAAACTCCAGCAATAAACAAAATTAATATATTCCGATTATAATAAAGGACACTCAGATCCCTTTTGCCAATACAGCAAAATATCTGGGCAAGACACTACACCGTAAAGTCCATATTAAAAAGAAATGCGAAGAGCTTGGTATAAAATACAAAAAAATGAATTGATTGCTAGGAAAAAAATTCCAAATTAACCACATACAACAAACTGCTTCTTTACAGATATTGAAACCCGTTTAGACGTATGGTATCCAGCTTTGGGGCTACGCCAGTAAAAGTAACATCCAAATTATTCAATGTTTCCAGAATAACGTATTAAGGAATATCGTCGATGAATCCTGGTACTGCCACAATACTGATCTTCATAAGAACCTTAAAGTGGAGACTGTTGAAACTACAATACAAAAATTTGACAGTAGTCACCAACAATGACTGCTCCAACATGGAAACATTGAGATTATCCAGCTTCTGAACAATGCCAATCTAATAAGAAGACTCGAGAGAACCAAGCGTTTTGAGTTAGTTCAGTGATGTTAGATAAAAGCAGAGTATAGTGCGGTTTAGTGTTGTAGGTTAACGATAGTGTAACTAAATAATTAGACTCTAAGGTACACTAGTGGGTAGAATTTTAATTATGAAGTTTTTCATCCCTAGATAAGTTAGATTAGAATAAAATGTAATTTATTTGATTGTAATAATCGTAAATGCTTCTTGACTTGGGGCATTTATTAAAAAAAAATCTTCTATTCACACATCAAAAACGCCACTGTATTTTGTGGTAGCAGTTCAGATGCAACTTCTATTTTTCGGTTACAGAAGAAAGCTGTTAGAATCATAACTAAAGTCTATTCAAATTTAATTTACGCCTTATGTAAACAGAAGCAGGTGGACGCTAAAATTGAGCGTCTTGCAAAAATGTAAAATAAAAGTGTAATTGTGAAATTATTTTTTTATTACGATAAAAACATATTTTGTAAAAACTATAAAATAAATGCCATACATGGTCTCCCAGACTTTAGTGACATTTCTGGACGAAGATAGGTGAGCGACATAAACTGCGTTAACCTGAAATACAAATTAATAAATGTATTTGACTTTAAAAGAGATGGTTGCATTATATTTAGTTCATTACATGTCTACTGTGATACAGAGCATTAAAACAATCATATTATAAAATTATATTGTACAGGGTGTCCAAATAATTGCAAATTCTTTAATAGCTAATATATATCTACTAAAAGCATTAAAAAAACTTTAAATATAAGAGGTATTTGGTATTTGATTTAAAATTGTGCATCTTAAAAAGAAACCTTTTGTATTTTTGATAACTTTTGTTCTTTATTGTTCTTGTTCTACTAGTATTTAGATTAGACAACTTGTACCCTGTATTATAGCAATCTTCCTTACTTGACTTAGCACTATTCTGAATCGGATAAATTAGTTAAGACTTGAAAGGCTATCTTCATTAATCAAAATTATAAGTGGTTCTACCTGACCTCTATAATATTATCCAACTCCTACATTTTTACTTCAACTTTTTGGCGAACATGGTCGATACACTTTTTCCATTTTTCTGGAGAAATTAATATTACTTCTTCAAAAAAAAATTTAATGTCTCCAGATTTAAATGTTGAGTTTTTATCTGCTACGTATTGTTTAACGTCAACCTAGATTAATTCAATAGGGTTAAGTTCACAATGATACAGAGACATGTGAAGTATTATGTTGTTTTGCTGCTTAGCCATTTCATCTATTACATACCTATCATAATGTTTATGTTGCTTACCAAGTTTTAGAAGTCGAATTCAATTTTTTTCCCTTATAGCCATTTTTAAATATCACCTTTTTTAGACGTCGTAGATATTTTTTCCAACTTTCTCGAATAATAATGCAGTTATCTTCTAATTTTGGTAGGGTGTTTGAAAACCACTCTTTGAACGATTCTCCACACATTTCTTCATGGTTGTTACCGGATTTTTCAACTCAAATACATAAAGTGCATTAGAGACAAAGCCTTCTTCACTTCCAATATGGCATATAATGAGCTGTTTTTACGCACATACCTGATGAGTTTTTAAAACCAGTTAAAAGTTCATCCAAAAAGGCTTGTCTGGATGAAAAAACCGACATATCGAAACAAACTTTTGATTTGGTGTCGCCTGCGTTAATCCAAGTTTCATCAAGATAATATATTTTTTGCTTTTCTTCTCTGTACCGTTTTATTTTTTGTGGCGTAGGACGAAACAATTTCATTTTTGTCTAAAAGCAAACTATTTTTTCCTCGAGTTTTAAATTTAAAATTAAGGGTTTTGAAAAGCTTGTAAAATGTAGCTCGCTTAAAAGTAGACAAATATGGATCATCGTTGACTTCTTATAAAACCTTATCAATTGTTGGATGTTAATTTCTAAAGAATTGATGTACTTTGCGCCTTATTGCATTTTTATCAAAATCATCCACAGAGCCACTAATTTGTTTATAACGTAGCTTTCTTTTTGGTTCAGAAAATTTATGAATCTGCCTATACTCCTTCATAACATTAAAAACGGTTTTAGCGCACATCCGTTTTATCAGCAACTCTCCTTTCAACATCATGTACCAAAATATCAGGGTTCTATAAAATTTAATGCTTATAAATATTAAGAACCATTTCTTTAGTACGGATGACCAAATGTCCCTTTTCAGTCGCTTTTTAGAAGGAGTAAAAACATTTTTCTGGACTTCATCTGCTGTATCTGTGGAGGACATAGTGTCACGCAGCAATTACAAAATATAGTCAATTAAATGTCCATAAAATAGAGTAAACATGTTCAAACTAACAACAACCACAAAAACAAAAATCACAATATGTCGTCGGTATACAAACAAGTCATTTTTTTTTAAATTGGCTTATTTACATCAGCAGCTTGAATTTTAACACCCTGTCTTCTGGCAAAACCCACCAAGTCATTCTTTTTTATTATACATGTAAAACACATTAACTCAATCCCTACATGAAAAACACATTAAGTCAGCACAATTGAAGAAAAACATCGTTAAATAAACAAAAATATAAATTCAAAATAAAATGTTTAATGTGACATTTCATTCAATATATGTGCAAAATTACTCTACCAATATAAAATGTAAAAAAAAGTTGTACGCAATAAAACTGCAAAACCAAAAATTGCAATATCTAAAAACTATGTTTTTTGACTTAATGGATTTTGCTTGTATACCGACGATATGTATATCTAAACTATAATATAATGAATTATAATCAATCAAACATACAAAATGTCCAAACTAACCAACACGGTGAATGCTACCAAAACGCCCTTTATAATTATCCAAATTGAAGTGAATTCGACTTTCGACTCTGACAAAAAAAATTTGCGCGTCGTCTAAATGACTAACGACCGATTAACCAATAGCAGCGCAAAAAAATATCACGTGAGCTGTTGCTGGATGGGAGAAATTGTTTTGACGCGGCGTAAATGAAATCTGAATAGACTTTAGTTCCAGATTGATTGTCAGCCCTTGTTTATTCGCCAATGAATAATGCCTCTATCTTTTATACATTTAGTGTCTTTATGGCAATTTATAAAAATTGTCTTTGTAGACCAGCTGTACTTAACCTTTTGTTCTTTCGGGCCACATAAATCTGTTTGTTATGCTACACAGGCCAAAATATCAAAATATTTTTGGATAACCAGAGTTGCCACCTTTTTGAAATGTAAATAAAGCACAATGGGTGACGAAGGTCCTCAAGTTGTTTTAATAAGCTTTGGGACAATTTGTTTCAAACAAGGACTTTAGTTGTTTGGTGCTGCACAAAACAGCTTGGAGGGCCGCACAAAACAACTTGGAGGGCCGCATGCAGCCCGCAGGTTGAGTATGGATGTTCTAGACAGTTCGGACATTTGCAACTATACCACCAGACAAGCTAACAACTTAAGAAGTTTAAAAATATATCAAAATAAATAATAATAAAAACAAAATTGCTCGATCTCTATATATTCCCATTACTTTGGGCTACTGTAGTTTAAATCATTTAAAAAAATATTAAAAATCTGACTTTATTTGAGTTATTTTATTTTACTTAACAATTTTATGTAGGTAGATATATCGTTTTTGTTTTCAACTGATGGGCATTTTAAAATTTACCCTTGTCTTATTAAGTACTCTGGCACTTTTATTTCGATAGTTACGTTTTACAGAACTGCCACGCTTTAATTCTAGAGATTCTGAAGATGGACTAGAGCGATAAACAAAATATGGTAGGGTTAGGCATTTAACCAAGATACATTTATTTGCCGTTATTCTTATAACTATAGGTTTTATAATTTTTTTGATAAAAAAAACAAAAACGATTTTTTAATAAAATTTACTTAAATTACGATACCTACAGCGTTACAGTAAAATTTACATGTCTAGGAGCAGTTACAAGTATTTTTTGACATTTCACTGTCTTACGATTATTAAAAACTTCTTGTGAAGCCTGGTAGATTCTGAAAAAAAACATTACTTATCCACAGTTCGAACGCTTAACATAGTCTATATAGTACAACTTAATCTTAAAAAGAAAAATCATATAAACGTTTAATGATAAAATGGACAATAAATTGGACAAAATGGTATACAACTATTAAATATCATGATCAGAGTTTGTACCATATTTGCTATTATAAAATTAAATAAGAATGTCAGTTTTTTTTTGGAAATCTTCGGAATATAAAATATATTATTTTCCTACTACCCATAAACATCTAGTATATCCCTCGTATTTTTTCCATGTACATACATGTAATGAACATAAATAAATGTTTATCCTAATTTTTAACATTAATGTCGTATTTATTCTGGCAAAAACAAGGGATGTATTTCACTATAGTTTTTGAGTCGACTGTTCACAAAAAATACAATTAGTATGATCGAATACGAGGGTAACGCAAAAATTAGGGAAGACTATTAAAATACGAAGGACATAAATTGTACAAATACGAGGGTAATAGGAAAATGTGCATGCATTACTAATAAATATTCGTATCGAGTTCGTTTCGCTGATTCCTAAAGATTTCCTTTTGAAACTCGACAATCTCACCATGGACAATCGATTAAAAAGGTAAAAAAATATTTTAATTACTTCCAGTATATAATAGGAACCAGTCAGAATTGCATAAGAAACTCCTTAAACACGAGACATTTCGGTAGTAATTGAACAATAAAATGCAAAAAATCGTATATGAACAGATTATTTATTATTTAAACTAAAAAAATTTTAATCAGATTCCTAATTTTAATTTAATAAAAAAAAGATTTCTCAGCTCTTGAGTGAGATCCGACGCAGCAGAAATTGAAGTTAAAAAATCGAGGAAGGAAATAAAATTGATGGATAAATTGAAAAACTGTTCGAAAAACTCGAGCGATCCGATTGGGGGCGTGGTTAAAATTTACCGTCCGCCGAAAAAATTATATTCATTTAACTATATTTAGGTTTTGTGTATAAAAAACTACGGAACCGACATATAAAAGGGCGCACCGCGATAAATTTTAACAGCCCTTGAACCAAATCGATTGTATAATTAAATTGTTTATAATAATTAAATTTTAATACAGTCATTATACTAACATTCCTCTTGTTCTTGTGACTTTCGGACGCATCTTGCTACTTTTCTTTTGAATTCTGAGTAAGATTCTCGCCATTCTTTCTGCAAAAACAAAACAAAGAGCTCGTTTTAATGAAACGATTTTTTATCAAATAAAAATGCAACAATAATAATTGCTTTTACTGGACAAATTAAATAATACAAATAATATTTTCCAAATGGCAGAGTTCAAATTCTCTGATAAAAATTTTATAGGCGAAATATTTCAGAAGATAACTTGGTAACTTTTAGAGTGCTGCTCCAGAATGAAAAATGGTCAGATGTGTACCAAACTACCAAAGTAAATGAGTATTTTGTTTCACTTTTTACAACTTTTCAATATAACAATAATAATACATTATCATTTAAAGCAATAAAAAAAAATAAATCCAAAACAAAACCCTGGATAACTAAAAATATTAAAGAATTTACATCGAATGGTATGGGTGTGTATGTATTTGAATCGGTCATTTGAGAAACAGCACATGTCAGTTGAAGATAATTTTTCAAAAAATAAGAAATAGTGAAAATCTCAAAACGTGGTTAAAAAAATAGTTTTGTGCACGTTTAAAACTTGCCCTATTTCGAGTATAATACAATAACTATTTAAGCAAAAAAAAATAATCGGTAACAAATCATGGTTAATTAAAAATGAGTGACATGTGATGTTTCTGAAATGAACATAAAAACTTATTAAAAAGGGATATAGTTTTATTATTATATGTTCTAAAATTCATTGTTTTCATCGTTTTCATTTTCAGTAGCCGGTCAATTTAATATTTCAGTATAAAAGTCATGGTGCATATTGGGAACGTCTTTCTTAAAAAATGTCAAGTAGAACTTGTACTTAATTTGGTTCTCGGATACTTTGTATCAAATAAATCGTACATAATTTTCACGTTAATTGTTTCATTGAGTTATTTTTCTGTGCTACTATAGTAATTTTTGTAGGAAAGCTCCTAAAATGGTCCTCAATCTAAACAACTATATTTCCTAGTTGTATTTCCAGAAATACACTTACCCCTTTTGTCGTAAGGTTGTTTGCCTTTGGGCCATTCGCACTGCTTTTACTTATTAAGTGACACTTAAGAAGGCATAACCGTTAGCACCGTTATTAAAGTTCTACTTATCAAGGCGTTAAAACACTGTCATTGATTTATTAGCATTACTATGAAGACTTCTTCATAAGCATTACTTATACAAATCAGTCTGTTATAAGTATTAATACGCCTTTGTAAAATTGCAATACACAAAATGGAAATACTGGAAGATGATGGGGCCTTGAAAATACTTGATCTCATTAATATTAGATACCACGAAGAATATAAAATAATATATACAAGAAACGATTATTTTTACACTGCAATTTAGGTATGGTCGAAGAAACTGCTTAATTGCATTGATGAAATTGAAGCAAATTTATAGTATCCTTATAATAAATATGTAGGTTTCAAACTCAAATATTTTTATAGACAATACAATTATAACTATTTTTATAGTGTTTTTTTTTTTGGAATATTTTTTGTAAAATTAGCATTAAACTCTTGGTAGTATTGGCTACCTCATCCTTATCTTTGTTAATATGATTTCTATAATTTGTTTTTATATTAACTAATTGAATTAATACTAATTTTACTCTCATTATAGCTGTACTTCGTGCTCTATTTTTATAACTTCTTAGTTCATCTAATTTTTTTTAACCCTCACAGACCGTCTGGCTACAATTGTGACTTACTTATAATTTAGGTACATAAGGTTCAGAATATGCTTAGAAGCTATTGAGACCGGCGTCGTTCGCTTGTGAAAGGTGTACTTAAGTGCATGTTTACCGCCGCAATCGTCAGTTAGCTTTTGTTTTGGGTTGAAAGTGTATCGATAATAGCTGTGTATAATCGAAAATGGCTTCGCGACGTAACTATATTTTTTTAAGTATTATCACCGTATTTTTAAATATTTCTTTGTGGTATATTACTGTCAAATGATTGTATTTATTTGTATCATCAATGGTTTCATGAAATATGTTTGAAGTTTGTACTAAATTTATTGAAACACCTTGATATCACAATTGTGTACTTCAGGTCTAACTATAGTAAAAGTTCCAAATATGAGCAATGAACATAATTTTCTTTTCTTACAGGTTCAAATCGCAGACTTAATTAATCTAAAGCAGCTTCAGGCTAATCCAGATGCTTTTTATGAAATATTGGACGATATTGACTCAGATCTGGAGTTTGAAGGGGAAGAAGGTGAAGATTGGGAACCCTCAAATTCTACAGATGAATTTCAAAATTCTGAAAAAGAATCTGAATCAGAAGACAGCAGTGTTGACGAAACGCCTTCTCTTGCTGATACTGCCACATAAAAAAGGGTAAAAAGGCAAAGGCTAATTGGACTTGGATAGAAGGATTATTTGAAATAAGAGACCCTCCTGAAGAAACTTTAAATGAGCCACAAGAAGTTCTGTCACCTGCACAATATTTTCAGCGGTACTTGGGTGATGAATTTTACGAACTGGGTGCTTTATGCACTAGCCAATACTATTTTAACAAAAATGGAAAACCTTTACAACCTTCTTTGATGCCTGAAGAAGTAAAGAAGTTCTTCGGTATTCATGCTATTTTGGACTGTGTAAAATATCCAAGACTTAGGATGTATTGGACAGGCAACTTCAGATTGCCTCTCATTGCCGATACATTACCTAGAGATCGGTTTTTCTTGCTTCCTTCTAACTTTCATATAGAAGATGAAAACAGGGTTTCAGAAGAGGACAAAAAAAGTAATCGGCTTTGGAAAATACAGCCTATGATAACTTATGTCAGAAATAGATGCCAGCAACTCAAAAGATCTCAAAACGGAACTTATTCAATTGATGAGCAAATTATTCTTTTTTAGGGCGTTGTGCGTTAAAACAATGTCAAGAATAAGCCGAGACCTGTTGGCCTTAAAAATTTTGTTTTGACGACTTCTAAAGGAGGTGTATTAGATTTTGAAATATACCAGGGGAATACAACTAAATTTCAACACAAAGCCCATGGACTTGGACCAGCTGTAATTCTACATTTTGCTCACAAGTTACCAAAGAAAAGTCATCTATTTTTCGATAGATACTTTATAGGCCAGGATCCGTAAGTAAGGTCGACCTTCGCCCATCTGTTTACCGGATGAAAGTTTCTTTTTATTAAATAAAATATGTTTTTAAATATACCGCAAATGGGTTGCCTAAAAAAATACGGTCACGGCCATTTTTTGCTTTCCTTTCTGTGTACAGATAAGGAAAGTATAAGAATCATGATAAAAGTTGCTTATGATGTCATTCTCTATTATTTTGTCCCTTAGGGAAATCATCCTAAAATGGACCTAATTCGAGATATTTAAGAAAAATTGTAAATTTCGAATTTTGAAGACAACTCAAAAACGGATAAAAAGAAAAACCAAATTTTAAACTTAGGCTTTAATCTATCCTGCGGTGAGCTGATTAAAGTTTGGGCATAATCGAAGCATCTGTGAAATACTTTACAGGTTGTTGTTTTTTTTATTTTTAGAAAATAAATACTCTGGACCGTATTTTCTTAGGCAACCATTTTGCGATATATTTATAAATATATTTTATTTAATAAAAAGATACTTTCATCCGGTAAACAGATGGGTGAAGGTCGACCTTATTTCGGATCTTAGACTATTAACTCAATGGGGCTAATGGAGCAGCTAAATCATATAGAAATCCACGGTACTGGCACTATAATGAAAAACAGGCCTCAAGTAAGCTACGATTTCATTCCTGTAAAAGAATGGCAAGAGGTGATTCGCAGTCAGTTATTAGAAGTGATAATAATCCCATGGTACTGACAAAGTGGATGGATAACAAGGCGGTTCTTATGTTGTCCACTTCTTTTGGAACTACACCAGAAACCACTGTGAAACGCTGGAACAAAATTGAAAAAGAGTTTGTTGAAGTCAACTGCCCTAACGTCATTTATACCTACAATAAAAACATGGGAGGAGTAGATGTCTGTGATCAAATGATAGAGTGTTACAGAACTTTCTTCAAGACGCGAAAATGGCCGTTTAAAGTCATATTACATTTGTTTGATCTCTCTTTAGTAAATAGTTGGATGGAGTATGTTGAAGACAGCAAATCAAACAATTTTCAAAGAAAGGATATCATGGATTTTTTGACATTTCGTATAGCAGTTGGCGAGTTTTTAATTGGGGGCACAAGAAGGAGGAGGAATCAATTTGAGGAAATAACTGATTTAGAAAATAATGAAACAGGAGACGAGAAGCATAAGAAGAAAATAATAATTCCAGCTACCCTTCCTGGTACTGACAAACGTTATGATGGATATGAACACTGGCCAGTAAATGATGACTTAAAACATCCCCTTCGTTGCAGACTACAATCTTGTACTAGCAGATCAAGAATACGTTGTAGCAAGTGCAATGTTTACGTATGTTTAGCTAAGGATAAAAATTGTTTTGTCAATTTTCATAGGTCTCAATAGGACTATTATTACATTTCTTAAATTACATTTTCATAAATTTTACATTGGATACCTTTGTTTACTTTAATAAAAACTTTTTTATTAAATACTATTATTTAATTAGTACAGTCCTGCAATACACAATTGTGACATACTCACAATTGTGAGGCAGTGACCCAAAAGGTACAATTGTAGCCTGTTTTTTTTTGTAAAAATAATGGTTGGAAAAATCTGAAAAAAAATTAGTGACTTTTTATGACTTCTGATAATAGGAAACAATAAAATATATTGTGTTTGACTTATTATTGCACACTCAGGTCTGTAAGGGTTAAATAGCCCTGTGACAAGCGGGAAACCTCTTAAAATCAACCTAAACCGCCTAAAACCTATCGCTATTTAGGATTGCTTGAAAAATATATTTTAATATATTATTGTAAATTGTTGATGAAAACTCCAAGTGACAAATAAACAAATTCACTTTCAATTTCACTACACTTCAATTTCATTAAATTAGAAACGTGGTTCGACACAAATTTAATTTTTGCAAATTGAGCGTACCATTCAGTAAGCTGATCCTTTTAC